CCCGGTGGAGCCTATAAAGCAATCGAGGCGGCCGTGGCGGAGGATCAGCGCCAAGAGCGGAGAAAGTGGCTTTGCGGGGAAGCTGCTCACCAAACGGGACGCACGCACGCTCGCAGCTGGGCTTGAGGCGCCGGGCCATTTCTTTCTGGTACGTAGGCGGGATTCTCGAAGCGAAGCCAAGCCAGGGCCATTTAACGACTAAATCAGGCGCGGGATAATAGCTTTAAAATGCAGGCTTGAGGCCGTGATTCTTTTCAGAGGAGAAAGTTGTGGGTTGTCTCGAATTTCAGACGGAACTTCAGATCGGAACGGCCGATCTGAAATCAGCAGTTAGTGGATTGCTCGGATGGTGCGTTTGATGAGAACGATCGTAGGTCATTAAAAAGGGGTTCTGTTTGGCGGGGGGGGGGAGAGGGAAGAGATCGCTGCACTTGGACGAAATCGCCATCCCAGTGAGGCTTAGGCAAGGAATGGATGGTTAGATGCACTCGAGAGAGCCGGTGTCCCATTTAGGAACCGTTGTGCAGCCCCAGAACAATCAGACTCTTGTGCCAGCTCGACGCCTGGAAGAAGAAAGTTCTGCTTGTTTTTTTTAAAAGTCTGATTAGCTGAAGTTGGAAGGAGCTCAATCATGTGAGTTGTAACCGATGGGCTTTATGACTTTTTTTCTTCTCCAGGTGGTTGTTGTGACCAGGCGGTGTTTCTTTCTATACCCAGAGCCATGGAGACGATGCAGGAGCTGATCCCCTTCGCCAAGGAGATGCTCAGCCAGAAGCCCAACGGGAAGATGGTCAAGCTCTACATGATGGGGAGCGTCCTGGCCTTCTTTGGAGTAGTGATTGGCCTGATGGAGACCGTCTGCAGCCCGTTCACTTCGGAGGGGAGGATAGAGGAGGAGGAGGAGGAAGGCCGAAAGGAGCCTGCTTTTCCCCTGATGAAAAAGGAGATGCCCCTTCAGAAACAGGAGGAAATAATGTTGGAAAAGAGTAAACAGGCCTTGGCAGTGAGGAATTCGGTGAACAGGCATCATGCATCATGAAAAGAAACACACCTTGCCTAGAGTGAGCAAGAACATGTTGACCTGTAACGGGTCAGATCCGTTGCTCTTTTTTTACGCTGCAGGTGCAGATCCCTGCAAACCGGAGGACTGTTTCTGTGAGACTGCAAATGCAGAAAGACTCTTTCTAAGCAGGAACATTTTATCTTGCTGCTATGCAGCAGTGGAGCTGCACAGCTGTTTCAGTTTAATGTACCTGTTCTGTTGGTATATGAATATGCAAAACTAGCTGCGTCTTTGCCTACCTTTGTGTGGGTTTATTTTTTATTATGACTGTACATACATTTTACAGATAATTTTGCATTTAAATAAACTATTTTACATGTAATGCACATGAATTCTGGGGTGATTGTCCTGCTTTGAGAGAAGGGACTCCTCCAGGTGTATTTTTAGCCTTGCAAACTCAAGGATATGGCTTCTTTTATTGAGTCAATCCATCTCTTACTTGATCTTCCTCTTTTCCTGTTGCCTTCAACTTCCCCCACTATTACTTTTTTCCCTATCAAGTGTTCTCATGATGTGCCCAAATAAAGGTACTCTCAGTTTAGGCATGTTCACTTCTAGGGAGCTATTTAGGCTTGACTTTTTTTACCCAGTATACATAAAGCTCTGAACAGAGAAGATTTAGTGGGAAGCAAAATAGATCCTTTGGCAGAACGCAAGATATCCATGTGCTGCTTTGTTTGTTTGCAGAGTGTTGAACACATTCAGCCCATCTGAATACATTTATTTTTTCTTATTAGCAGAATTTAAGTCATGATTCCTATTTATAATTGTATGATACTTAAGTTCTAATGATACACAGTGACAAAATATATTCAAAATATTTGAAAATTGTTTTTTCTGCTTCTCTCATGAGCAAGTTCAGCAATGAGATAATGAAAAGCCCTAAGTGGCTTTGTCCCAAGCTATCTCGAGGACCACAACTTTTTTGACTATAACTCCAGAATCCCTTAGCCACTAACTCTGCTGGCTAGAATATTCTGGGACTTGTAGTCCTAAATAAATAACCTTAGAACTCTAGAGCTGGAAAGGACCCTATGGATCATCAAGCCCAGCCCCTAACAATGGGAATCGGCAGTTCCCGTAACTGATTTAAAAATGCATCTTAACCACCCTGTCCTTTCATGGTATGTACAATACTCTAAATCTGCTATGTCTGAGACAGCCACCTCCTTGGATAATAGTAAAGCTGTCTATACTACAGTACTACCGTGCTAAGAGCCATCCTTCCAGAAACATCCCAGAAACACTGTGGCTTGTTCTGCTTGACCTACGTGGCCATAGGTAGCACCCATGAACAGAACAAATCATCATATTCATCCATTAAGTGGGCCTTCCATCTACTAGAAAGTACTGGTAATTAAACAATTGGAAAGGTTTTTGTAAAAAAAAAAAAAAGAAGAAGAAGGATAATATTCTGTTTTTGCTATGCCCCCTTGATGGTTTTCTGCCTCCCATGGATTATAGCTTTTTCTCAAAAGCCAAAAAGAAAGGAGGGTGGTGGGGAGGAAAACTTCATTATAGCGGAATGCTCTGCTGAACCCCTCCTGCTTCCTAGGTCCTGCAATGGCATAGCCTTTACAAGCTTCTCTGTTATGGGAACTCTAGAATGCCAGCCAACAACTCCGCTTCAGAAAACACTCTGTTCCCACCAAGCCATTTTAGTGCTTGTTTCCTCAGGCAATCGGGATCCAGCATAATGAAAACTTCTAGCAGCTAGCATACAAATAAGAAATACTTCAGCCAACATTAAAAACATATAATTTCTTTCCTCCAAGGAAATTGGGACTAATTTTTGAGTTGGGCCAACTTCACTACACTTGAAGAGCACCATTGTCTACAGAAAAATTCTTTAAGTCCCACAAGCAAGAGTAACAAGCAAACATTAGAAAGTAACATTACTGTGTAAAAGGAAAAACTGCACTTTAGTAACTTTTTTCCTCTAGTGACATGAAGTCCATTCTAACTTATGGTGATGCTTTTCAGGGGTTTTCTAGGTTTGTGTAACCTTGGTAAGACTTTACTTCATAATTCCACTTGCTGTTCCTGTGGATTAAAAAATAATTCAAGGCCCCTCTGTCCCATAATTCAATGGGAAGCACCACCTCCCCCATGGGGCTGGGGGACCTTAAACTGACAAGAGCCAGAATAGCCCCTCACTTCCATCTTGTTCCTATGCTGCAGCTTATCATTTTAAATGTGCCTTGCTGCACCATGATTAGCACAAGAAATCCCTGAATCTCACGAAAGATTAACACAATAGGGTTGGAGTATGCTGTCCTTGCCCCTTCATGGATTGCTCCCTTGTCATGGTGAAGGGGTTGAGTAACTCAGTGAAGCTATGGGCTATGCCGTGCAGGGCCACCCAGGACGGACAGGTCATGATGAAGAGTTCTGACTAAACACAATCCACCTGGAGCAGGCAGTGGCAAGCCACTCCAGTATCTTTGCCAAGAAAGCCCCATGACCAGAAACAAAAGGCTAAAAGATATGACACTGGAAGATAGGACCCTCAGGTCAGAAGGCATCCAACATTCTACTGAGGAAGAGCGGAGGACAAGTACAGGTAGCTCCAGAGCTAATGAAGTGGTTGGGCCAAAGCTGAAAGGATGCTCATCTGTGGATCTGCCTGGGAGTGAAAGGCAAGTCCGATGCTGCAAAGAAAAATACTGCATAGGAACCTGGAATGTAAGATCTATGAACCTTGGGAAGCTGGATGTGGTCAAACAGGAGATGAAAAGAATAAACATTGACATTCTGGGCGTCACTGAACTAAAATGGACAGGAATGGGCAAATTCAATTCAGATGATTATCATATCTACTATTGTGGGCAAGAATCCTGTAGAAGGAATGGAGTAGCCCTCATAGTCAACAAAAGAGTGGGAAAAGCTGTAATGGGATATAATCTCAAAAATGATATAATGATTTCAATACGAATCCAAGGCAGACCTCTCAACATCACAATAATCCGAGTTTATGCACCAACCACCACTGCTGAGGAGACTGAAATTGACCAATTCTACGAAGACTTAACAACAACTTCTAAAACAGACACCAAATAAAGATGTTCTTCTCATTCTAGGGGATTGAAACGCTAAAGTAGGGAGTCAAGAGATAAAAGGAACAACAGGAAAGTTTGGCCTTGGAGTTCAGAATGAAGCAGGGCAAAGGCTAATAGAGTTTTGTCAAGAGAACAAGCTGGTCATCACAAATACTCTTTTCCAACAACACAAGAGGCAACTCTACACATGGAAATCACCAGATGGGCAATATCGAAATCAGATTGATTATATTCTCTGCAGCCAAAGATGGAGAAGCTCTATACAGTCAGCAAAAACAAGACCTGGAGCTGACTGCGGCT